CTTGCCCTTCATTTTCTTCGCTAATACAGCGCCCTCCTCGTTGGGTCCTTGCGCGGCTATGCCCCTTGCGCGCGCTTTCGTTCCTGACGTTGCGATGGGCAGGGAAACACAAGACACAACGCACAGGATAGTGTTAGCAACTCAGCGCCTTGTTCTGAATACAGCACTTGGTAATCGGAAGATTCGGCTATCAACAGTGCGTTCACTAAAACCCTTTTCCGTGCGTGAAGGCTTGCGCCCCGTGGGGGCACGGGATTAGTTGCTCGTGAGTGGGACGGGAGCGAGTGCGACGCGGGTTTTTTACCTTTTCCAGTGGCGCTCACGTGCTGCACGATTTGTCTGTCACCGACAGGCTCCTCGGTATCGCTGCCATTGCGTGCCTGCCGTTCTCCTTCGCTGCGCAGCGTCCTCGAAGGAGATGGCGAATCATCTCCTTCCGAAGCGGCGCTCCGATCTTCGCCAGTACTCTGGCTGGCCGATTTGCCGTCGCTGTTGTCGTCCTCGTCGGTGTCTTGCGACTGCCCGCGGGAAGGACCGCTGTCGTCTCCCTCGTTTCCCCCCTCCTCATCCTCCGCACCGTCTGACTTCTCTGGCGTGGAACGGTCGTGTTCCTCCTCTTCTTCCGCTTGGGGTGTGCTGTGCCTATCGTCAGACCCTCTAAGATCGATTGTCTCCACTGGTCTCTCGTCTTTGTAGGATATTCTCTTCCTTGAACTCCGGTGAGTAGTCGCGCTTCTATCATCCGACGATTTTTTTTCTGGGGCCCTCGGCGGACGATTTTCGGCGCCTCTTCTGCGCTTTCCCCCAACAGGGGTCGAGGGGGGCGACTCGGTACGTTCTTTCAGCGTTGAAATGTCCCGCTCACTCGAAGGGACTGTAACTTTCGACCAGGATTTACACATGCGCCTGTGCACCATTTTCGCGGAGAGGCCGACACCGCTTCTGCGATGCTCTTTCGACTCCCTCTTCTCAGCCCCCGATTTCTTCCAGCACTTGTCCTTCTTTCCCGCGGGTTTCAAAGACCTGCACAAATCCTCGTATTTTCGCCTTGGAGCCATCACCCTTTTTTCCCACAGATCCTCGTATTTTCGCCTTGGGACAACAAGCAGCATCGGTACACACTGACATGGCACGCAGCAGTCAACCTCACCCAGCTGGAAAAAAAAATAAAAAATTGTGGCACTAGCGCGAGGTTGGCTACTGCGGGCCAGAACGAGTACAACCAGCAGCGGTGTACATATATATGGCCCGCAGTAGTCAACCTCGCCCATACAGGGCTAACAGCAACTGCGGGCCATTGACACAACAAGCAGCTTCGGTACACACTGACATGGCACGCAGTAGTCAACCTTACCCACCTGGGAAATCAGAAAACAATGTGGCACCAGAGCGAGGTTGGCTACTGCGGGCCAGATCGACAACAACCAGCAGCGGTGTACACTTACATGGCCCGCAGTAGTCAACCTCGCTCATACAGGCAGACATACACTGCGTTAGAGGGCGGTTGGCTTCTGCGGGCCATTAACACAACAAGCAGCTTCGCTACACACTGACATGGCACGCAGTAGCCAACCTCACCCACCTGGGAAATCAGAAAAAAATGTGGCACCAGCGCGAGGTTGGCTACTGCGGGCCAGATCGACAACAACCAGCAGCGGTGTACACTTACATGGCCCACAGTAGACAACCTCGCCTGTACAGGCAGACATACACTGCGTTAGAGGGCAGTTGGCTACTGCGGGCCATTGACACAACAACCAGCTTTGGTATAGACTGACATGGCACCCAGTACCCAACCTCACCCACCTGGCCACTCATAAAAAAAATGTGGCACCAGCGCGAGGTTGGCTACTGCGGGCTAGATCGACAACAACCAGCAACGGTGTACACTTACATGGCCCGCAGTAGTCAACCTCGCCCATACAGGCAGACATACGGGGCCTTAGAAGGCGGTTGGCTACTGCGAGCCATTGACACAACAAGCAGCTTCGGTACACACTGACATGGCACGCAGTAGTCAACCTCACCCACCTGAGAAATCATGAAAAAATGTGGCACCAACGCGAGGTTGGCTACTGCGGGCCAGATCGACAACAACCAGCAGCGGTGTACACTTACATGGCCCGGCGTAGTCAACCTCGCCCATACAGGCTAAACTACAGTGCGTTAGAGGGYYGTTGGCTAYTGCGGGCCATCAGGACAACAACCASCRTCGGCAAACACTGACATCGCACGCAATAGTCAACCTCACCCAGCTGGGGAAAAAAAAAAGAATGTTGATTGCGAGAGGTTGACTACTAAGGGCCAGAACGAGTACAACCAACAGCGGTGTACACTTACATGGCCCGCAGTAGTCAACCTATCGCAGAGATGCATACATACACTGGACAGACAGAGAGGTTGGCTACCGCGGGGCGATGGGACAACAACCCCCAATGGTACACACAGTCATGGCATGCAGTAGTATACCTATTGCAGCGTGGAAAACAACACTCTGCTTTATCGACACGTTCACCAGTCACCGATGCAACACGACGCCAAACGTGACATGCGAGACCAGAATTGGCCTGCAAGGGGGACAACTTCGTGATGTCGGACAGGTAGACATGCGTACACACAGATAGAAAAAGAGAGGGGGAGAGAGAGAGAGAGAGAGAGAGAGAGAGAGAGAGAGAGAGAGAGAGAGAGAGAGAGAGAGAGAGAGAGAGAGAGAATGCTTCCCTGATGACCCGCGCTGCCACAATTTGACATCTTCTGTACAGAGTTTCCAAGCGCTCATGGATGTCAAGTCCTTTCTTGCAATATTCACAGTTTTTTTCTGCTCCATGACGGCCCGCGTTCAGTAACACCGGTCCCATTATATCTTTGATATATGAAATTATATGGGAAAAACAGTCCACCACCAGCCTCGCCATTTGTCGAGAGTTTGCGTCAGCAATGAAATTTTCAAAAATTTTCGTCGTCATAGGCATAACAGAAGATTCTGGTACAGCCGAAGGTGCTTTGCTGGCAAGCACGCAGGGGAAGTTGTGACGCACGTGGTGGGATTTCAGTGCGGCAACATCACTGCACGCAAACAGGACATGTGGCGCAAGCGCATCCTTCCCAAGAGTGGCACCATTCCCTGAACACACTCCGATTGGTCTGTCAGGTTCCTCTCTTCCCTTCTTCGTTTCACCTTCTCCACATCCCATAACATATCCTTCCGTACATGTCACCGTCAGTTCCCCAGCCAACATCCTGCCTCGAGTGTGTTGCAGGGCATCCATTACGTCGGAGGTACTGCTCAACAGAGTCGCGATTTTTGCAGGAAGCTCGTCATTAACAGACCCGACACGCACTTCACTCAGACCGTACTCGTCAACAGTTTCCGTACAGTGGCGAATACAGTCCTCGGCGAAGGCTAAGAGGTCAACGACGCTACGTGCCGTCGTAGGTAGCGAACCTGTGCTGTAATCTTGGGAATTGTATGATGCCCACCCCTCCTTSAGCACACACTTTCCGCAGCTGGCAAGACACATGACATCCCCTCCGTTTGATTCCCTGTTTGTTGTCTTCGTGACATGGGCGGAGAACTGCTTCAAGACGGCGGTGCGCCTTTCCCTTTCAATATCCAGCCATGCCCGAAACTCGTCGAACGTGGTGTTCTTCGTTTCAGCAATTGCCTAAAGTCCGGTTGACATGTCCTCCCTCAGACGAGTAACGTCTAGTATATCTTTCGGGTTGTCAAGCAACAACCAAAACACGGTGAACATCCTGTGCTCCGCAGTTTCCGTCATTTCATCGAGAAGCGACTTGACGTGGCGTAGTTCATCTGACATCTCTCCAAGCAGTACTTTCTGCTTATGCACCTCCTCTGTTAGCCTGCCTATATGTTCTCGGTCGCTAACTACAGTCCGACCCCTGTTTCGATCCGTTTCAG